TGATACTTCAAGAAATTTTCACGATACACAATATGACACAATATTTATTTTTTCAGACAATCTAGTCAGTTGGAACTGAAAAGAACCTATAATTTTAAAAATAATACAAACCCAAAAAACTGCAAACCCAATGATATTGATTTTTATTCAATATTTGCCATACTGGCAATATTTATACAATATTTGGCATTTTGCACTAAATCCAGTTAAACAAGACTAATTTTGCTCTCTTTATAATGGAATATGCAGTTGGTGAGTGTTCTGGAGAAAAGCATATTGTATTGTATTGTGACGCAATTTATCATGAGAATGAGATATATTGTTATATTGCCCTGCCCTAATAGAAATTCTTGGCTCTTTAGGGATTCTTTGGCTCTTTACCCTCTTAACCTTATCAAATCTAACATCTCACTAGCAATACATTCAGAGATGTTGGTAATGTCCCATTAACTCTGCTGCCAGAGTAGTTATGATGTGTACAGCATCATAGCCAGCCTGGAATGGGAGCTACCATGTTTCCTATCACTGCATAAAAGAAGTGCCATGCTGCCTTTATTGTTGGATGCACTGAGATATTTTACAAACACATTCAGAATGTAATTCTACGTTGTAGGCGAGTAATATTGATTTTTTTTTATCAGATTATTTTTTTTATTGTTATAAAACAAAAAAGGTGAATGAAGTGTAAATTCCAATTAATGTATTTTCTTTCTTTTGCGTCACAAACAAACTAAAAGTTGTGAATTTTGGCTCTGACAGATCATGTTATTATTTACATATAAAAATAAATGCTACACCAGCATTGCTTTTCGGCATTGATCTTAAAGGGTCAAACCACAAGACCATATTGGCCCACCATTCAATGCCTCAACTACATTAATTATCTATTAATTTCATAGTAGCTATACACTTTCTATTTAGAAGCATGATTTCCATATTTCTATTTCATGCGTAGAAGGTTCTTTGCATGGTGAAATGGTTCTTCAGATTGATGGAGAATGTGCTGTATATAGAACCTTGTAACAATAGTAGACATGTGACAAGAGCCCTTTTTGGTGCTATATAGAACCATTTTCAAAACATTTCTATATAGAACCATACACAAATGGTTCTATATTGAACTCACGGTTCTAAATAGAACTGCTGCCTTTACTAAAGAACCCTTGAAGAACCGTCTTTCTCAAGCGTGTACCTATTAATATATAGTGGTTACTGCATAATAACTCACAGATTAGTAACAGAATAAGTTTAAGGGAACTGAAAGGTTGTCCAAATGTTGCCTGGACTGCCCTTTGTCCACTGCAGGAACAGAAGGATGGATGTCAGCCTGAAGAGGCAGCAGCTGGGCGGGATAATGCTGAGCAAAAGATTAAACAGGCTCTGAAAGGCTTTGTTCAAGTTGTACAAGTCATTTGATTGCACGCCCGTTCCACTCCACTTAAAGAGAGACTGCAAAGCACAACAACGCAGTAGGACACTACTCTGTGTCAAATATCATTATGGGAGTGCAGCTTCTTGCATGTACAATTTTAACATTTTATAGACGTTGTTTTCTGTGTAGAAGTGTAAAATGCAGAATCAAAAATCCAAACCTAAAGGAAAATAGACACACAACTGCCACAATGCATGCCTTTAACTGACAATCTGACATAGATATGATAGGACAACAAACTAATCTCAAAGAAACCACATACACAGTGCTAAATATGCAGCATGGTAAGTAGTTGATCCACAGCACTGAGCTGCTAAGTCTCTGTTTTAATAACCCCCATAACCCACAATCCCCTGGTGATCTAATCCAGGGCTGCGGTAGTGAGTGTGTATTGTTTACACACAACAAATTAAAGTTCACTTAAGACCTTTTAAGCAAAAGGCCAAATTATACATATGTATAATTTCAGTTCCACAAAGGGCAGCAAATGTTTCGTAAAAGTGGCAGACATTTTCTGCTGTTTTGCGATATTAAGCTCATGCCTGTTTAAACCTAAACATGCAGTTGTATGCAAAAGTTTGAACACCCCTGGTGTTTTGCTGATTTGTGAAAACATTTTTCTGCAGATTTTAATGCACAGTTTCTATTTATTTGCAGAGTTTAACATATGGCAAAAAATAAAAACAGGCCTCATTTTATGGTTTATTTATTTCTAATGTGCTAAATTCAGAAAATAAACAGTAAGTGTGAATTAAAATATACAGAAGTATGTTCTCTGTACAGGATGTAGTAACTACCTCCAGGGCTTTTTACGCCTTTTGTTTTTTATAGCTCATGTTTATTTAGTAGTATCATTATGTCCACTGTATTGCTGTAAACTCTACAAGTGTTATAATAAAACCTTTGCTTTTTTAAAAACTTTTTTTGTTTGTTTTTAAAAGTTTTGGTTGGAAACAAAAAGGCTCAGTTCTTGAAATGCCCAATGGAAAATGATCCAATCCGGATTGCTTTATCTGGCTATATATAGCCAAGCAAGCTCTCTCATTGGTTAGGACCTCAGATGCTGGACTGAAGGTCTTAGATGTTAGATTAACTACTAATGTATAATGACTGACAGTGTATTCAACCAATCACATTTTGATTTACAATAGATGGGACCAGAGGTGGGTGATATGGCAAAAATGTAATATCGTGATATTTCAAGTTTTCATGATACATAAGTCACAATATTTATTTTTTCGGACATCTAGTAAGTTGGAAGAGTCAAAGTAGTTCCACGTTTTGAAAAATTACTATCAGATTGTATTAAAAAAATTACACTTTGAGCTGCAATAAATCCAGTAAAATATGACTAATTATGCTCTTTTTAATCAAACATGCAGTTGGAAAGTGCTTTTAAGTACTGATGATATCCATGATATACTCAGAGAGACATATTGTGACATACTGTGACATAATTTGGCATGATAATGATAATTCATGTCATATTGCCCAGCCCTTGGGAATCCTATTTCACTGTGAAACTGCTACAAGGTGAACTATATGCTAATATGTCTATCACAGGCTTCAAGTAAAACATGGAATGTTTTTTAGAAGCTTCAAATGTGTGTGCTTAATCTAGAACGGTCAAAATGTTCATGTAAATCACTGTTAGCTCAGCACTATCAAACTACTAGAATATTATAGAAGTTAGCATTATCACTGAGGTGGGTTTTTTCCTCATGTTTTCACATTTATAGCTCAAAATGATGGCCAAGCTCTAATAGTCATTCTACACTACTATGTTTATTCATATGAAATGAATTTGAATCAGGTAGATAGAGCATTTGTAATATATCACATCATTGGTTATATAAAATTAGAAAATTATTAATTATTATCTTATTATATTATCTTATTAAGGGGTCGCAATCAATGCAATTCAATTCAAAAAGCTATTATGACCATATGTCAGACTTTACATTGGAATAAAAGGGGGAATATGTGTACTAAACAACACCATTACTAAAAATAAATGCACTAAAACACTTTGCTTTGCACACTTTACAAAGATGGTTCTTCAAGGGTTATTTAGTAGAGGCAATGGTTCTCTGTAGAACCATGAGCTAAAGCGTTCTTTGCATGGTAAAATGGTTCTTCAGATTGATAAAAAAAGTGTTCTATATGGTTCTGTGTAGAACCTTTTTTGAAAACGGTTCTATATAGCACCAAAAATGGTTATTATGTCAAGCTTGTAACAACAGCAGAACACTTATTGGTGTTGTATAGAACCATATATGTTCTGTATATAACGATATACAACATGTTCTCCATCAGTCTAAAGAACCATTTCACCATGCTATAGAACTATTTGCATCCCATTACCTTTACCAAAGAACCATCTTTTTAAGTGTGTTGGCTCTGTTTGGCAACATTCACCATTACCACAAAGCATGTGCACTTAAGAATTCCCTTAAACACTGAGAAATGGACCCATCTACGCCTATCCTAGCCCTCCGAGCCCCCCACAACAGACGTTCTGAAACCTTCCAGTCTTAAACAAACACTGTCCACCCTCTGTTTCATGAATTCTTCAAGCTCTTGGGTTTCTCTCAATTATTGATGCTCCGAGAGCATCCCGAACCCGCATTGCAGCACTCTCCTTCAAACGGCCGGTGGAAATATCGACCACATCCCACCACCCAATGTCCGCAACGTTTACAAGCCCTTTCCCTCCTCAACCGCCACACTCAATACCCGATAAGGAGGCTTCGTCTTCTCCGGCTGAGTGAAAATCAGAGGTGACGTTGAGGGCCTTGAAATATTCAAGCCTTTTCACAAAGAACGGAGTCATACTGAGCGAGGCTGTCACTTTTGGTGGAAGTGTCTCCACGTCGCAGGCCCAATGTGTGGCCCGGGAGTTCTTTTGTTTTGACGTGAATCGAGTTGTTGGAGGGACAGAACAAGAGGGAACGTTTTTACAAGCCTCATTTACCCAAACTTAACCAGGGGGAGAGCATAGTTTGGTCTGAAGGATTGGTCTGACTCAGTGTCAAGCTGCACTCATATTTCACTGTTAGTACTGTCATTATACAAGGTGCCACTGAATTTGCAAATGTGCACGTTTTAATTAGTAGTTTTCATAGTTTCTTAGTACATACAACTATACAAAAGCCTCAATAACTGAATATAATATCTTTTTTCAGTAGTGTGTCCAGTCTTTACCTTTATTACAGCTTCCATTCTTTTCAGGAGACTCACTTTCAGTTTCTCAAAGAAATCTGCAGTCACACCTCCAAAGTTCAGTCTTAGAAATTGGTTTATTATTTCCTGCTTCTCACCATCCAAGTAATCCCAATTACAAATTTAATCTAAAAAAACCTTCCTTCACATCTCAGATGCCCAGTTTTGGTGAATAACTTGGCCATTTTGACTGGAAATTAAATAAATGAAAGGTGGTTACTTGTTAGCTACATTAGTCTCAAAACTCCAGTGCAAAGTCCTGACAGATCTTGGCTCGCTGTGTAGCTCTCTGAAAACGCTTCTTGGAAAACGCATGTCCACATGGCAGGCCGATAGTAAGTCTTACCAGAGAAGAAGTTCTTGGCACGCAGGTAGCTGACGCTCAGGCGGAGGATGGAAAGCTTGTCTAGGCTGGAAGTGACCTCTTCGGGGAAGGGCAACAGACTAGCCAGCCGCTCCAGCTCCGAGTTGAGCCGATCCCTGTGACGCTTGGAAGGGTTGGATTTGGCCCCTTCAGGTGGAGGCTGCTTCACCCTGTCAAAAGTAGCATTAGGAAGTCGTTTCATTCACCTCAAATGGACTAGAAAGACCCTTGCTCCATCCCTGAGTACTTTGTTACTGTACTTAAGTAGAATTTTAAAGTGTCTTTACTGTATTTCTGTCACTTGGTACCTTTTACTTTTGCTCACTGCATTTAGAAAAATCTGCTCTGCACACTACATTTTCAAACCAGGCTTGTTACTCAGTGGAAGAATGCAACTGTGGCACAATTTAAGGTGGAATGTAAAATTTAAAAAATAGCCTGGTGGATAAGAAGCTAACTTGAGCTTCATTTGAGTTTTTGCAGTAATGGGAAGATGATGAATGGCAGTACTGAAAGTCAATTGCGGTGTGAGGTTTTGGACGTTTCCTTAAAAACAAAGGTTTAGAGTTTTCGGATGCTGTTTGTAACTAGACCCATAGGGCCCAGGACCACCTGTAGCCCAAAGGCCCACAAACAGGTTAAAGCACACCTGGCTGTCACAATCATGAAATTTTAGCCGACAGTTAAAACTTTTTTTTGTTCATTGTATGCAACTGTTAAAGTACAAGCCTAAATTGGCCAAACAAGCTGATTAGCCAACTGGATAAATGATATAGTACACTATTAAGTGTAGTTACGCAGAATCAGGTGTAGAGTCAAGCAATGCTACAATTTTTCTTGAGCATAAAGCAAAAAAAAAAAAACTCTCCTAGCATATACGCTAAAAATGTTAGATTTTAGATTGTAAGATAAAACTGTGTTATATCAAGCCCCAAGATATATCTCAATTAATGCATTTACTGCTTTCTTTTATTTACATTTACATGCATATTTTACATTTTGCTTGTTGCAACTTAATACGATTGTAATATCTAATGACTGCAGTCAGCTTAAATAATTGCGATCCACTATAACAATTGAGATTAGGCAATAATGTAATAATTTTGACAAACCTAACTGGCTGCTTCCACAGCTAAGAATGCAGGAAAAGGAAGTAAAGAGATGGATAAGTCATGGAATCTAAAGAAAGCCAAAGTGATGAGTCACTGCATATTCTCGGAAGGTGCAAATATGTTGGAAAAAAATTTCCCATCCATAGCCTTACTCGCAGTAAATATTTGACCTGCTTGGTTAAAAAAAAAAAAAAAATTTTGCCATATGCACTACAAAAAAAAATGATATAGAAATTTGTAATTTTATGTTTTTGCAGATGATGTGCTCTTCAGTGCCCTTCCCCAAACAGATGAGTCTGATGATTGAGAATTCAAAGAGAACTTCGTCAAAACTTGGCGAAGGACGTGACTTTCGAGGGCGGGAGTGAATTATCTACTATTGTCATCACATCTTCATCAATGTAATGTTGATTTTAAGATGATTTGAGACCTAAACTTTGAGCCAGACCTTCGTTTTGAGGCTATGCATGTGACGCTAATACATAAAGACGTACGACATGGTCTGAAAAACTCCTGATCTGACGCCCCTGACTTTTAAATGAAGTTTCAGGGAGCGACTTGCAGCAGCACACACTCACCAAAATTTTAAGCCTGTTTTTATTGTATAAATGTACAAGTAAGAGCTACCAAGAAGGAATTGCTAGATCATTCACGCATGGCTCTTCACATTAGATCTAAAACTCTGATTATAGGAGGATTGAGGGTGTAATTTTGCATATTTAAAATGTTTGTATTGTGACAAACTCAGTGAGATCATGGAACAAAGCTCATCAAAAACGATCACTGCGTATAGGCTTGCTATTTCAAATACAAATACCAAGCTGGGAGCTTTCTGACTCCAATACCAAGAAATTCTTCTCATCTCCCAAGGTTTCCTTCTGCTTCAATGCCCTGATGCATGTGATATCCTGTATCCCAAGATAGTTCTACACACTTCCATCCAAGAGTACCACTATAGTGCTATAAAGAATAATAGATTTAGACCTACATTCTGAAAGGGCTGCATGAAGTGTGAGTTTAATAAATAATAAATAAAACTCAAAAACATACATAGTACTAAGACACAGGTAGTAAAGTGCACAAAGGCAGATACACTAGCTCTGACAACATGTTATCTATAAGTTCACTTTACTAAATAGGATTGTTTCCAGAATTGGAAGGGTGAGTATTTTCAAAGGCCAGTAATTTCCATAGATGCTAGGACCAATATATTGATATACAAATATATTGACATCGATCCTGAAGTGCAAAAAAGGCTGTACTGACACTGAACACAAAACATCTTTATGATAATTACAACCCCAATTCCCAAAAAGTTGGGACGCTGTGTAAAATGTAAATAAATGTATACAAAAGCAGAATGCAATGGTTTGCAAATCTCATAGATCCATATTTATCCTCTCCTCTTGAGTCCGCAGGACATGGTGTCTGTGGTTTCCTAAAGGAATTTTAAATTTGGATTCATCTGACCACAGAACAGTTACCGTTTTGCCTCAGTACATTTTAAATGAGCTCAGGCCCAGAGAAGACAGCAGCATTTCTGGATTGTGTTGACATATGGCTTCTTCTTTGAATGAGACAGCTTAAACTTGTATTTGTGGATTGCAGCGTGAACTGTGTTCACAGATAATGATTTCTGCAAGTGTTCCTGACCCTATGCAGTGATTTTACAGTACAGAATCATGTTTGAGGGCCTGAAGATCACAAGCATCCAATATTGATTGTCGATCGTCAGCCTTGTCCCTTGCGTACAGGGATTTCTCCAGACTCTCTGAATCTTTTGATGATAATATGCACTGTAGATGGTGGGTCATCCAATGTCTTTGCAATTTGACATTGTTTTTAGATGCTGTTTTTCACAGATTGGTTAACCTCTGCCCATCTTTGGGCAGAGAAACTCTCTACAAGGCTCTTTTTGTGCCCAGTCATGTTTTGTTGCCCCTGTCTCAACTTTTTTGAGATGTGTTGCTGCCATTAAGTTCTAAATGAGTTAATGTTTTTCATGAAATGGTAAAATGTCTCCTTTTTAACATCTGATATGTGTTTTATGTTCTATTGTGAATAAAATATGGGTCTATGAGGTTTGCAATTCATTGCATTTATTTACATTTTACACAGCGTTGAACTTTTTGGAAATGGGGGTTGTATAACAATTCATATAAAATGTGTCCAAACGCTCACTTTTATGAGAATAATATATATAATCTAAATCTAAAGAGAACTAATGAAAAATAATAACAGTTGTTTAAATGGCCAAAGCCCACCCGCAGGCCCAAAGTTTTATTACAAACTTCTATTGAATAAAATCGTATCTGTATCAGGCCACTAAATTTTCACATTGGTCAAGCCCTAATAAATACCTGAAGCACTTTTTTTCACTTTTAACTGAAGACTAGACAAACTAAAAGTCAGACTAAAATATGAAATATAAAATTATATTGGCCAATATTATCGGTTATCAGAATTTTAGCCTGCTAAAATCGTATCAGTAGCGACCACTAAATGTTCAAATCGCTCCAGTCCTAATAACCACCTGAAACACTTCAATTTCAACTGAAGACAAGACCCTGCTTCTCCTCAGACCTTGTCCAGTTACAGTCACTGATCACTGTTCTGATCACTCAGTATCAGCCATCGCCACACCTGCACATAGCTTCAGCTCCAGAATTAGATTTGAAATTTCCTTCTCGATAATTCAGCAAAAATTTACGCTGTGCTGGCTGACAGCAAGCGTGCAAAATAACCAACATTAAGTGAAACACAATCATAAACACAATGGTAGTAATTTCTACATTTACATTAGAATTTCTTTCTGCTGTGTCGTTCCTCAGATTCTCCAGTGAACCAAATGTACCTGCTCATCTCTTCCGAAATCAAGGGTTTTGATATGGAATTTGCTGCAGTAACAGCCTCTACTTTTCTGGGAAAGTTTAGATGTTGGAACACCCCAAAGGTATTGGATGGAGCTCCATCACTCCAGAGAACGCAGTTCCACAGCTCCACAGCCCAATGCTGGGGGGCTTCATACCCCCCTAGCCCACTCTTGACATTGGGCATTATGGCATGGTTGGCATTCAGCTTTTTTATTAAGAATATACAAATATAGATGGAATGGATACTTTTGGGCATACAGTGTACATTCCCTCTGTTTCAGTGTCAAGCTTGTCACAGGAGCAAAACCCTTTTTGCTGCTACACAGAACCATTTTGAAAAAGGTTCTATGTAGAACCACATACAACACAACAACTGTTAACTTGAAGAATCATTTCGCCATGCAAAAAAAACCTTAAAGCACGCAAATGATTCTTTGAGTGTTCATGGTTTTATACAAAACTATTGTCTTTACTAAAGAACCCTTAATAAACCATTATTTTTAAGAGTGTGGTGTTAAAATGATGAGAACTTAAACGAGAAAGCCTTAACAGCCCTTAACGGACACTACAACATCTCCACAGCTACTTTTGACCCTTATTTTCTTTTCCCACCACTGTTAAGAGAAGCCCCGCCCATTGCGCGCTACGATTGGTCGCTTATCGTTCATGTCTCTTGATTTGGATTGGCTGTTAGCCTTCTCCTCCTCCTATACGGCGAAACGCCTGTCACTAAAAACGACTGACCAATCACAGCACAGAAAGCAATATGACGGAAAACAGGTGGTAAAAACAACAGCTAGACTTTACTTACGATCGCTGCACCGGTTTCCTCCGTTTACGACCAGCGTACATCCTTAGGTTTTCTGTATAAAATACAGAATAAAAGTACCTCCCAAAGTCAGAGTCCGGCAGAAAAATCCGCTTTTATTTATATCTTATAAATCCAAGAGCCGTGAAGCTGAAATAAACGGTCGCTGTGAGTCAAACGGCGCATTACACTCAGTTAAAAGCTGTTCAGGAAAGTCTATAAAAATATATTTTTAAAAGAATAAATAATGGCGTCATTCCTATCGTTTTGGTCCTCCAGACTCGCGCACCACTTCAGACCCGTGACCGCGCAGAGCTCGAGCGCAGGTTCGCGCGAGGGCGCGCGCGCACGAAAAGTGTGTGCGTGTGTGTGCTTGTGTGTGTGTGTGTGTGTGTGTCATAGACAGGGGGAGAGAGAGAGAGAGAGAGAGAGAGAGATAGATTGAGAGGGAATGGGAGCTGATGGGCTTCTGATTGGATAAAGAAAGAAACAACAAACAAACAAACAAACAATCTCCTGGATACTACACACGTCAAAGTGCTCCAGACTCCCTCTGATTGGACGACTCAGCAGCTGACGTAATCGCCCGAGGTTTTTCGGACAAGCCCTGCCCTCCTGTACTCTGATTGGCTCGTAGCTCAACTTTACTGTTCATTGTCGTATAGGTTCCTGTGTTCCCGAAGATAAGAAATATAATTCTGCATTTAAACTACAAAAATCGTCAGAGAAACCAGAACTGAAGTCTGATGGCCTAATCAGGGAGACTGTAGCTCTGTTGGTCCAATCAGAGGGAGGCTGTAGCTCTGTTGGTCCAATCAGAGGGAGGCTGTAGCTCTGTTGGCCCAGTCAAGAGGGAGGCTGTATGTGGGTCAGGGGGGTTTGGCCTGTAAATAATATAGCAGGAAAAGAGAACAGCAATTAGCGAGCTACATTTTTCCCTGATTAATTGTTTATGAAACATAAAATAAAGTTAAGCGCCTGAAATACAGACAGTCAAAATAGTTTAATCTTGTCATGTAAAAAATGTTTCCACATTACGCTCTACTTTGTAATGTTTATAGTATTTTTATGTTTTTAATACGGTTAATATTTATTTTGTGCTAGCATCAACAGTATGTAAGGATGTAAATAAATGTATGCCAAATCAATGTCTTAAATAAATTAATACTATTTTCTTTTGCATGGATACCTGGTCAGACCGTATTTTTTAGTTTAACTGAAGTTTCATACAAGTATTCAGACACAGCTTTGGTAATTCATCTACATGGGGATGATCAGAGAATCAAAAAATGGTGTGAATAATTCTGGAAGATACTGTATAGGGTAGCTTTTGCTTTCAGATACACTGATGATAACATTAAAACATGTTTTTTGGATTGCCTTACATTACATTAAAGAGAAAGCATAGGGAACATATGAAATGTATTAAATTGTATTACGTTTCAGCTCGTCAACAAGGGGTGATGTTGGTCAGCTTAGATGCCACAACACACACATCAGTTCTGGAGTCTGAAATGTTTCTATTTAATGAACATAGAAATATATTTCTGAGCTTACCAAATGCCTTGGAGAAAACAGTAGTATAGTAGATATTTAGGCTTAAAATTACAAAAACATTAAAGTCTAAGACTTAAATCTGTTGGTCCAATCAGAAGGAAGCTGTAGCTCTGGCAGTCCAATCAGAAGAAGACTGTAGCTCTGTCAGTCCAACGAGAGGTAGGCTGTAACTCTGTTGGTCCAATCAGAAGGAGGCTGTAACTCTGTGAGTTCAACTGAAGAGAGATTGTGCCCCTATCAGTCCAGTAGGAAGAAGACTGTAGCTCTATTGGTCCAATTTGGAGGAGACAGTATTTAAAAGAAGGCTGTAGCTCTGTTGGCCCAAACAGAAGAAGGTTGTAGCTCTGTTGGTCCAATCAGAGAGAGGCTGTAGCTTTGTTGGTCCAATCAGAAGGAAGCTGTATATACGTCAAAGAAAAAAGCAGTGCTTTCACAAATTCACCACAACAATGAAAACATAACAAAAATAACCACCTGTGGGTCCAACAGAAGGAGGCTGTAACTATATCAATCCAACCAGTGGGAGGCTGTAGCTCTGTTAGTCCAATCAGAAGGAGGCTATAGCTCTGTTGGTCCAATCAGAGGGAGGCTGTAGCTCTGTTGGTCCAAGCAGAGGGAGGCTGTAACTATATCAGTCTAACCAGTGGAAGGCTGTAGCTCTGTTAGTCCAATCAAAGGGATGCTATAGCTCTGTTTGTCTAATCAGACGGAGACTGTAGCTTTGTTGGTCCAATCAGAAGGAGGCTGTAGCTTTGTTGGTCCAATCAGAGAGAGGCTGTAGCTTTGTTGGTCCAATCAGAGAGAGGCTGTAGCTTTGTTGGTCCAATCAGAAGAAGGCTGTAGCTCTGTTGGTCCTATCAGAGGGAGGCTGTAGTTCTATTGGTCCAGTCAGAGGACGGCTGTAGCTTTGTTGGTCCAATAGAAGAAGGCTGTAACTATATCAATCTAACCAGTGGGAGGCTGTAGCTCTGTTAGTCCAATTGAAGGGAGGCTGTAGCTGTGTTGATCCAATTAGAAGGAGGCTGTAGCTCTGTTGGTCCAATCAGAAGAAGGCTGTAGCTCTGTTAGCCCAATCAGAGGGAGGCTCACCAAAACAATAAAAACATAACAAAAGTAATCACCAACATAATGAACACATAATGTTTGCCGTAATTCAGTGGTGGGTAGAGTAGCTTAATTAGACTAAAACCACACTTAGCTAAAAATATTCTCACTTAAATCAGAAACAGGCCTCAAAACAGTGTGGAGAAACGTCTTGGTACATCAACAATTTATCAGCTGGGGAATTTGAGTTCTCTAGAGTGAGAGGTGTGAGCAACATCAGTCCAGGAGCAAAGCCCAGAAAAAGGAATTGGGAACGAAATGTCAAGAACTTAAACGGAACTGAGAAAAAAGTAGATTACTTTCCTCACAACTATACTTGAGCAGAAGTATAGCATTAGAAGCAGCGTTAGAACAGTATTATTCGGAAATACTCAAAAAAGTATAAACCCATCAAATCATTTTGTGGCCAATAGCACCACCAGCAGGCCAAGATGAAACTGGTGGTTTAGCCAAACCACATTTGGTTAATAGAAGCCGGATGCTTGACTGTTCACTTCTCTTCAGCCTCTAATAGGTCAAGTTTGCCCACATGAAGTTTCATACACAGATACGGACATCAGAGGGAGGCTGTAGCTCTGTTGGTCCAGTCAGAAGGAGGCTGTATTTAATCTGGAAATAGTTCTTACACTGGTAGAAATCTAGAAAGAAGAAGCAGAAGTTTTTGACATGTTCCTGCTGAAAAAAAAGCCCATAGAAACCATAAAGTGTTTCTGTTGGTTCCTGATGTTTTTAATGCATTTTGGTTGCTATCACAATGTAAAGGATCAATGGCTGATTCTAAATGCATTTGATGGTTTTCTGGTGTGATCTAAAGGTGTTCTACAGGAAACTAGTGGTCCATATTGGAAACCACTAAGCCAGTTCCCATTAGAAAGCAAAACCATTAGGTTTCTAATGGTCCTTTTTCAGCAGCAGTGTTTTTTCCCCACAAGTCTGCAACTCTACAATAGGCCTACAGACAGAGGTATAGCCAAGGGGTGGCCAAGGGAGGCCATTGCCAGCCTAGAATGAAGCATGGCCATCCCAGTTATTAAAAATTTCTTTCTATTACTTAGTCAGCTATCATCATTTATAATGCTAGCTAATCTCTTTTTACAGTTCAGTACATGCATATGTAGCAAGTTACCTTATCCAGTGCTGAGTTTTCTAACCACTGTATGTATAACTTGGAGTGAATGCAACCTAAATGAATCACTTCTATGGCCTGCCTATTTGAAATGTTTATGTTGTGCACTGAAAAAAGTGATTAAAAGTCATTTAATTTACTTCACTTTCTGCAGTCGTTGTATTGATGTAATATTTTATTCAAGTGGAAATTATAGACAGACTTTGTTATGTACAGAGTAAAAATAACACCACTTTTTATGTAATTTTAATACAGCAACGCTGTTTTAGTTTTTTTTCCAGCTACGCACCTGCCTACAGGTTTAATGGAACTATAAACAGAGTTCTGTAAATCTGTGAAAACCAACACAGAATCTATGACTAACTTGTGTGGCGCTTGTACTAGATATATAATATAAAGCAGCTGTGAGGTATTCATTAGATTTTCTAGGTGGATATTTATAGTTACATGTTTTTCTAGACAATGGTAGCAGTAGCTACCTAATGCACTCTTGAAAAAGATGGTTCCTCAAGGGTTCTAATTCTATTTAGAACCATTTCATGCTTAAATGGTTCTTGGCATGGTGAAATGTTATTTAGATTGATGGAGAATGTGTTGTATATGGTTCTACATGGCAACTTTTTGAAAAGGGTTCTATATAGCACCAAAAAGGGCTCTGCTTTGTAACAATTGTAGCTTGTAACAACAGAAGAACCCTTTTTGGTGCTGTATAGAGCCATTTTCAAAAAGGTTCTATATGGAACCATATACAAGACATTCTCCATCAGTCTGAAGAACATTTCACCATGTAGAGAACTATTTAAGCATGAAATGGCTCTAAATGGAACTCATGGTCCTACATAGAACCAAGAACACTTTTTTAAAAGTTTGTCTAATCTAGCTGTCTAAAACATTTACCAGCTAAAGTTAGCATGGTTCTAAGCTTGAAACTACACCAACACAAAATATAAAAAAATATAATAATTATATTTAAAACTACTAAACCATTCATTTTTGAAATATATGATTACAATGTTATTACACTAACTATAATAATCTGATTTTGTAATTCATAAAAGTATTACTAAACATTTTGTTCTGTTAAATATAAAAGTCTAATAATTAATTAATTAATAATTACAGAATTATGAACACAGCCATTCAGGACTGTAAACCTGCTTAGAAAGCAGTCAAACAGTTATAATAAAATGAATATTCAGAATTCATCATATGTCAAAAGTGGAGATCTTCGTGCAAGACACCTTGACAAGAAAATGTATGTTAATAATTTCAACAGATTAATAAAATTTCTGTAAAGGACAAATAGCTTGTAATGTTCAAGTCTATACTGAATATGTTATCATTATAATATAACAAAAATGGCAAGTGATCCCAAACTTTTGAATGACAATTTGAAAAATGATAAAATAAATAAATTATTAAAACATAAGTGTAATATCAAATACATGAATATCATGAATGCCGTATTATTACAATAACTGTATGAACAGTAATTTATATTTATAAAAGT